TCTCTGCTGTTGCTGCCTCTGGCAGTGATGATGGCAACTGGAAAGAATAAAACCCAACTGCTCCAAGCTGTGAGCTGCTGCACACTCTGGAGCTGAGGCGTTGCACAAGGACGACCTGCCCTCATCACTGTGTCCTGCAGTGGCACGGTTGGGATGATGGTGATTTAGGGCTGCTTTCACCTATGTGGGACAAGCCAGGCAGGATGGATAAACTGGATGGACACCCCGAAGATGATGTGAGCCCTGCCCGCAAGGAAGTGTTGTTTCTGGTGCTAAAACCCAGTTAATTTACACAGCAAGAAGGAATGTGGCCCCTCATTTCAGGGTGCTAGATGAGATTGATCAGCCCAGCCTTGCTCTCCTGCAGTGCTTTGTGTTTGTTTTCATGGGGCTGCTGCTAAAGGCTATCAGCCTGTTTCTGGAGCCTCGTTCAATATGCTCTGCATGGAAAGGCATGTTTCATTTTTAAGTTGAAGGGGGGAAAAAAAACCCAACAAACCCCCCACACACACGCACACACAAAAAAAACCCAAACAAACATAAAACGCAGCGTGGCACAGATTAAATCCATTCGAGACAACTCGAAGAGGAAAAAACCACCCCGCCGTATGTGCAAGTCAATAGGAGGAGGGGAGTGGAAGGGGGGGAAAAAGCAACTGTGACATATACAAACCCTTTAGTGTGCATAGCAAAAGATTTTTTGGCTGGCACTCACATGATTTTATTCAAGGGCTGGGAAAGAGCTACGATTAGTTAAAAGCTTCGGCAAAGTCTGGAGGGAGTGCTCTGAAGAGTTGGGAGCCGCGCAGAGGTGACTGTAACTCCTCTCGCAATTCCAGGCTATTCTTCTGTGGCTCAGGACAAAAGCCTTTTCTTTTCCCTGCGTGTTCAAAGAGACATTTGTCTTGAGATGTTGCAGCTGTGGGCCGCGGGATTGCCTGTTTGAAGATACCCCCTCGTAGACGAAAGGAGAGGCAACGCACTGAAAAGTGGTAGTATTTTCTCGTGTGTGGGTTCCCCCCCTTCCTCCTCCCTCTCTCCTCCTCCACTGCCATGTGTGGTTTTTAATAAGAAGAAGAATGTGGAGGCAACATTTTCCAGGCAAGGGGAAATTTCCTGTTTCTTTTCTGTTTGTTTAATAAAGTGTGTAGTTGACTGTAAAACTGTAGCTACTTTGTCGTGAGCGGGTAATTCAGGCGAGCGTCAGGATCGCTTCTCGATGCACTTTTATATACTGCAAGTGAACATGTTTAAAGCCTTTTTTTCCCCCCTTTCTTTTTCTTTATTTCATCTATTCCCTTAATGCTGCGTGGCGGAGGCAACTGAGATTAATAAGAATTAGGCAAATGGCTTCTGCTTTTGTTGCTGTGAGATAGTACCAGCCGTCTTGCGGTCACACAAAGGCTGCCATTTAGCAGGGAGCACTCCCTAATTCTCTTGGCAGGGGTGCCATTGGGATCGGATACAAGTGGGTGGCAAAGGGGAGGAGCGGCAGGAAAGGACAAGCAGGCTTTGTGTATTAAAAATGAAACAAAAGCACTTTATACGGCGGGGCTGCGTGCAACAAGCCGGGGTGGAGTTTGAGTTCTCTGTGTGACTGCAAAACCTTTCCTGGGGGTTCTTTCCCCCCTCCTTTCTTTCCATAAACCCTTCCTCCTCTCCCTCCTCCTTACGAGCTCTCCCTGCAATGCTGGCGAGGGTCCTCAGGATGGAAATGCCTACAGAAAAATAGACAGCAAGACTTGTTACAACTTTGGGAGCACGGCTAGGGGTTTGCGGGCAAAATCAGCTTCAGCTGGTGGGGGGGATGCTGGATTCGGGAGGCTGATCCCACTCCAGCTCCAAGGAGAGCTGGTCCATGGTGTTGTATCACTCTGGAGTGAACCCAGTGGTGCTGGAGAGCGAATGGGTTAATGTTGTGATGTTTGATCAGGATTTCAGGGGGGAGTGTGTGGTGTTTCATTACTTTCTGATCCATGGCATACCTCGTTCTTAATGAAGCAGGCGCATGCAGAGCAAACGTGCTATATGAGCAGGGGTAAAAAGGAAAGCGGACGGAGCGCAGCTTGGTGTTGTCAGCTGAAATGGTTTGGGGTTGAGTGTGTTCGTGCAGGAGGCAGGAACCAGGACGGTGAAGAAGAGATACAGGGTGGTGGAGAGGCAAGGAGAGAGGCTGGCAAGGAAAATACACCGTGGGTTCAGCACAAACCTGCCAGTGGTTTTTGTTAAGGTGTCATTTCCATACATTGTGCACTTCATCTCGTATTGATTTGCTCCAAAACTTCCCTTGTGGGGCTGAAGTAAATTCCCTTGTTGAAGATAGGGAAATGAGAGACCTGCCTGTGACCACCTTGCAGTTCAACCCTCGGTGACTGCACTTCTGTGTGCGGGCGAGGGTGACGTGCCTCACAAGCCTGTGTCATCGTGCACAATTACATCCCTAATCCTGAGCAAAGACACAGATGCTGCTCCAAAAAAAAAAAAGGAAAAAGCTGTGTTTCATTTGACTTTCAAAGAAGCTTATGCCATGGCAGTGTAATAAACCCGTTATTTTAGGGCTCAGATTAAAGGTGAGAGTTTCAGATAACCCGCGGTTTCATCTTGCATGTGCTACGCTCAAGGAAGCCACCAGCCAATTGCTCTGCCTTGAAGATGATCCTGGTCCCGAGTGGGCACTGAGCTCAGTTTGTCCAGATAGAGGATGTGTGTGGATGAGGGTGGTGGCCACCAGGGCTAGGACCACCTTGCTTCCTTTGTATTTACGGTTGTGGTGTGAGGCTGGTACGTGATGCTCTGAGTCTTGGAGATCATACATGTTAGTGTTTAAGTCAGTGTTATAATTCACTGGCTTGTTAACCTGAGAAAATAATCTAGTTGTGGTGCAGGGCTTCACATAAGGATTGTGTAAGCGCTCTGAGATTTGCACATGTTTTTATTCTTGCTTATCTGCTTATGGCAAGCTTCTTTCCGTTATCCAAATCATCCGAGCACTCCAGCCCGCTTACTGATACACTTGCACTTCCATCTGGATGAAACAAGGGTAAACATCATGTATTACTTCCAGTACATGCCAATGGAGAGCTCGGTAGGAAAGACAGAGAGGAGGACCTGTTCCAAAGACTTTCATGTGTAATGCTGGATATCTCCAGTCAGGTCTGCTGGGTTGGCTGGTTCATCATGTCTTAAACCAGATTCAATAAAACAGGAGCAGAAAGCCATTAAACCCACTCCATTGAACCTGCCTGTTTCCATGGAGTTATTTTTTGCCCATGTAAAGCTAAAGTAACTCTATGGTACCCCGCTTTCATATGCACCAGTGTGGAGCCTCCCTGAGGAGATGCTCTTGGTGCCAGCATCACCCTGGCCCATAGTACCTGTCTGTCACATACCCGTCAGCTGGTGGAGATCTTACTAATACTTTACCTGGCAGCAGTGTGGGCAAAAAGGCACATTTAATTTTCCCTTTAAAAAGAAACAAATTAGTTGCTCTTCTCATTAGTTTTTGTCCCTCACTCTAATACCAGCTGGTGGAGGAGCCTCCAGTTCTTGGCTTTAGTCTGACTCACTCCAACAGTGCCACAGACAGCAGCATTTGCTCTGTAATGTCCTGTGTGAGATGTTTGACCTGCCAGAACACCTCAAAACAACTCCACGGGGTTCCCTCAGCCAAGTCTGTGCTTGACCAGCAGTTTCACTGCGAGTAAGTAGAGAGACCAGTGATGTGGCAGGGGAAAAGGTGCTGATCCAGGAGGAGCGAAGGCATTCACTGTGTCTATTAGGCCCTCAATGAAAGGGATCTCACAACCATTGTGCTTAAAGGTGAGACAGATGTTGGCTGGTAGCCCTGGAAGGCTCTTGTGTGAAAGTAGAGGGGTCAGTTAGGAAAGGGTCTTTATGGGGATTTGGAGGTTCAAACCCAAACCCTTCAGTCCCATCTATCTCATGGTGCAGCAGCAGTAATAAAGCACCACTTTGCGCTCTGAGCACCTACCTCCCCTTCCTGTGTTCTTTCAAAACCCACCTGGGTAGCCAAAAAAGACAGATGGGATGCGTTGTACAGATCCAATGTAATCCATGCCCTTACTGAGTGATCAAAGGAGGCATAGAAATTTGAGTGGCTTGTCTAAAACTGAACTGGTTACTTCCAGGCAGAGTGATACACAGGGTTTAAAATCAGTCTTCTGCAGCCCTTGGTGGTGATGGTTCCTTTCCTCACCTCTGTCTGGAGAACATCGTGGTGTGAAATGGAAAAACTACAGCACAGCTGAACAGAGCCCTCAGTACAAACTGTTTGAAGGGAGCAGCCCGCTGAGGTGTGTGTCAGTGTGAGAAGAGCAGTGTCCTGCATGTGCATGCAGTGCCTGTATGGGCAGGTCCTTTGTGCTGGCTCCTGGAGCATCCTGTGGGATGCAGGGATAGACCGGGTTTGATTTTACAGAGTAAGCTGAGCTTTGCTGTTCCCAGCCTTTTGGTAGTAGGTAACAGAACAGAATATAAGCCTGAATCCTAAAGAGGTTTCTGTTACCCTGCTTTTTCTGTGATTTTCCAGTAACCCCTTTTTTTTTAGTGGATGTCTGCTTGGATTTGTCTTTCAGAGGTGGTCAGAATGGTAAAGTCATTCCTTACAAAAACAGACCAAGTGCCAGCGGAGCGAAATCCCAGCCCTCCTGCAAGCAGGGAAAAACTTACTGCTGGCTTGGGTTTCACTCCTAAGATGTGAAATAGAGCAGTCAAAGAGGCGGCAGCTCTGGCTTGTGTGGTTTGGTTGAAACGTGGCCGGTGGTGGTGAGGATCAGCACAGTGGAGATACATCCCCATTGAGTCCCAGTGTTCATCCCTGTCCTGCCAGCAGGCCTCCCTGTGTTTATACCTGGACCGTGTGCTGACTTCACACTGCATTGCCATCGTCCCTTGATACTCATTGTTCAAGCTGAAACCATGTGCTGCTGACCACACACAGGTACCACTTGCTGTACGAGCCATGCTCCTTCTGCTTGCAGGTATTCGCCCCCAGATCATGAACGGCCCCATGCACCCGCGGCCGCTGGTGGCACTGCTGGACGGCAGGGACTGCACGGTGGAGATGCCCATTCTGAAGGACCTGGCCACGGTTGCTTTCTGTGATGCACAATCAACTCAGGAGATTCATGAGAAGGTAACGGGAGCTACAGCGGAAGCTGCGGGTGGTGAGCTCTGGTCGTCCTCTCCCTGCTCTTCTTGAGCAGAAAGGGTACAAAGCTGCTCTCCGAGTCCATCAGCAGAAATCACTGCAGATTAAAGTTCATCGAGGCTGGTTTAGAAGCCAGATGTTATTTGGGGGAAAAAAAGCCTTATCTCTTTGCATCAGGCTCTTTACATCAATAACATGAATGTGTCTCATGCTGTTTGAAGTCTGCTCGCTCAGCGCAGCAGTAAGACTCTCCACCTCTCCAGGGTACAGCATGGCTGCTCTGGCTTTGCTAACACCATCCCACACTGCAGCCGATGGGTCCCTTCTGGTCATTTCTCCCCCTGGGGCAATGGGTGAGGTTTGGCCATCATGCAGGCAGATCCGTGCAGTGTGGATGGGTGTTATGGGTGTCTCTGCTTGGAAGCTCAACCACTTGTGAATATTTCTTTAAAGCATATTGGTAGTGCACGTTTATAGAACTCCAATGGGGTTTGAAGTGATCAGAAATCACTTCCAGGGTCTGGGAAAGAGAACTACAAATAGCAGCAGTGCTGATCTTTGTAATGCTTCAGATATTAAATGAGGGGGAAGGGGGAGTGGGGTTGTGAGACATTGACAGATGATAGATGAGCCAGTCTTGGAGAATTTGGATAGGTCTTGAGGTCACGGAGCTCTGAGATAGCTTATGGTGAGCACTAATGATGGTTTGAATCTTCACTGAAGGGGATGAAGTGCAGCCGTATGTAATGGCACAGCCTCGTGTGGATCTTTTTAGGAACTCTTGAAAACCCACAGAAAAGGTTAATGTGAACAGTGTGACAGGGACTTGAACGAACAGCATGCAAAAGTAGGTTGAGGAGCCATGAATGACACACAGCCATGTTCAAAACCAGCAGATACTGCTGTAAAACCTAATTCCTTTTTAAGGGCAGAATTACTGCTGTCGGGAGCAGAGGGATGACAGCCTGGAAAAGGGTCCAGGTGAGTGACAGGCTCAGTTTTCCACTGCCTTGGCTCCTCAGATGTAACAGCATCATTTTCAGATACTCATTTAGTCTGTACCCAAAGGGAATGGCCACAGTATCGGTGTATCACACCCCTGATGGCTTTGGTGGCAGGCTGGGTCAGACAGTAGTCACTCAGCAGTAGAAATAGACCATTTATTGTGTAACATCCCTGATTCAGGAGCCGCCGATGTCCCTTCCTGGTGGCTCTGACCCCTGTGTTCTGTTGCAGGTATTAAACGAAGCCGTTGGGGCGATGATGTACCACACCATCACGCTGACTCGGGAAGACCTAGAGAAGTTCAAGGCCTTACGGGTCATCGTTCGAATAGGCAGCGGCTACGACAACATTGACATCAAAGCTGCGGGGGAGCTTGGTAGGTGTCAGCTCTGCACCCGGTTTGCTCTATGTCCTTCTGAGTGTTTAAAATCAGTACAGGTACCGGCTGCTTCCCATGGGAGCGTGTTGGCAAAGCAGAGGTACAGGCAGGACCTCCCAAAGGGGGCTGATTCAGGCCCTAAAATTACAGATGAGGTTTAAATTCTTCTGCATGTAGAGACTATGATGAGAAAACTTGACCATGAGGTAAACAGAACGGTACAGCTTTAGAAGGCGGCTTTTAGGCTCATACTGTGTTAACACTGCTCCATCTCGGCCCCTTGTTCCTGTGCTGTCCCTAGTTCCAGGTGCCTGCTTGTGCCAACAGGTATTTGTATGCCTGTTCTATCTGAGTTGATGTAGCTTCAGAAACATTGGAGGAAGGGTGGGTTAGTGTTTTCGTAGGTGAGATCAGTGTTCTGACCTCATCTGATCTCGTTCTTGGCGTGATAGAATCTTGGAATGGTTTGGGAAGGAAGGATGCTTAAAGCTCATCCAGCTCCAACCCCTGCCACGGGCAGGGACACCTTCCACTAGAGCAGCTTGCTCCAAGCCCCTGTGTCCAACCTGGCCTTGAGCACTGCCAGGGATGGGGCAGCCACAGCTTCTCTGGGCACCCTGTGCCAGCGCCTCAGCACCCTCACAGGGAAGAGCTTCTGCCTAAGAGCTCAGCTCAGTCTCCCCTCTGGCAGGTTCAAGCCATTCCCCTTGGCCTGTCCCTACAGGCCCTTGTCCCAAGCCCCTCTCCAGGTATCTTGTCATGCTCACACCACCGGGAAGGCAATGTGTTGGATGGTGGAGCAGGAATTGTGCATTGAGTTGTTGCTGCCTCCTTTGCAATCTCATCAAAGGTGCCTCAGGAACTTAAAAAAAGATCTTTGCTGTGGGTACATGTTCCATGGGATGCCAAAATAGAGAGGGTCCCATTGTCAGGAAGCAGACCCTACATCTAGATATGGGATATTTCAGCACAGCTTGGTTTGAAGGGTACATGATCAGACAGTTCTGGGATCACCCAGTTCCCATGCTGGTTTGGCTGGTCACAGAGACCTTTGGTTGCACACCCCCAGCTACAAGAGTTCAACTGTAGCCTGATTTTAACAGCTGAGTTCTAAATGGTTTTCATCATCCAAACATGCAGTCTATCATCAAGCACAATAGTGGTTCGGGTATCTTGTATTAAAGGTTATCTCTGGGGAAATAGGAATAACAGCCATCTCACGTGAGCCATTTTACAAAGATCACTGTGATAAGAGAGTTTCAAATAGTCATTCCTATAAAAAGCAATTCTCAATACACTGAATTATTCTCTTTTCCAAGAGGAGAACAGTATCTTCCCAACGTAATGGTTTCTTCATGTTTTAAACTCTTATTGTTATTATCCATTATAACAATATTCTGAGGCTTTGAACACCAAGAAAGGACAAATATAACGAATAAGGTAATGGGATGCTGCAGTATAATCCTTCTTTTTATACTTGGCAAATTGGGTGGCCAAATGATGCGGTTTCGAGGAGAAAATGTAATGACTACCCACAAATGTAGCGTAAAGTTTAATTGGGTTTGCTTTCTGTAAGGTAGTTTTTAAACTGCAGTCAGTAAATGACCGGGGGCTAAACATTGCTGGTAGAGCTGGGTTTGACCCACTATAATACCCCCCAGAGCAAGATGCTGGTGTTGAGCCATCCGCTGTGGGTATCTATCCCCTGGTACCAGCAGCTCCTGTGCGCACAAGAGTAAATAACAATGTGAAGCCGATGGAAAGGCAGCCTGGTGTCATCCAGCTCTGTAAGCAAGTGGTCCATCAGAAAGGGACGAATGCTGGCAGGGTTGGTGATGGAGATCCTTGGCAGAGCTGCAGGCTGATGGAGACCTCCCCATCACCTTCTTGTCTCTTCCGCCATGAGCAGCCACAGCCTCTGCCTACAAATGGGCAGGAGCAGTTGTCTGATACTTCAGTGTGTTTTCTTCTTGGGAAGCTCTCCATCCCCCTTCATTAGGGACTTGGGCAGGCGGTCAGACGGCTTCTGGGCTGCACCACCATCTGAGGTAAATCAAAAGGTCCCCTCTGTGGAGGAAATGGGGAACGTAAAATGAGACAACCTCAGCTTTAAGAGCTTGGGGGGACCAGAGCCTCGTGCTCCCATCATCTAAAAGAGAGAGGAGGTGAGCAGTGTTGGTTGGTGGTGGGTCTTTTCACCCTGCAGGGTCAGTCAGTTTTTCTCCCAGTTCCCTCAAGTCTTTCAAATAGCTGCAGGGTGCAAAACAGTTTTACAAAGGAATGGAGGGACAGGCCAAGGGGAATGGCTTGAACCTGCCCAAGGGGAGACTGAGCTGAGCTCTTAGGCAGAAGCTCTTCCCTGTGAGGGTGCTGAGGCGCTGGCACAGGGTGCCCAGAGAAGCTGTGGCTGCCCAATCCCTGGCAGTGTTCAAGGCCAGGTTGGACACAGGGGCTTGGAGCAAGCTGCTCTAGTGGAAGGGGTCCCTGCCCATGGCAGGGGCTGGAGCTGGAGGAGCTTTAAGGGCCCTTCCAACACAAAACAGGCTGGAAAAAACAGCAGAGCAGCTCCTGGGAGCAGGGGTATTGGCAGGGGATGGGATTCTGAATCAGTGCCCCTCACAGTGGAAGGGGATTTTCTTACTCTTTCTGTATCTCCTTTTTTTACCCATGGTACCTATTCAAAGGCCCCAGTCCAGTAAAGCACCTGAATACACATCCACCTTTAAATGTGTGTGTATATCACACTGAATCTGGTGGGATATAAGCTCTGCTGAATAGACATGGCATTAAGCACATCCTTACCCATGTTACCCAAGCCAGAACCCGGATGGGGCCATGATCAGGGAGGCATTTTCAGTGAACTTAATACTTAACAGCTCCAAGCAGTTTAAGATAAACCTTTTGTGGCTAAGGAACAAATGATGGTGAACATGCTGTGATGGCGGTGGTCACCCTGTGCCTCACAATGGGCTGTTTTGACTTCTAGTGCTTGCTAGTGAAAGGAGAAGCTGGTCCTGCTACTGACCTGGTGCACCAAACCTTGGTCCCTAAATAACTTAATGCTTGAACAGTGTTGTTCTGGAAAAGGAGTGACTTCTGCCAGTGAAATTTAAGTCCCTTTGATGAGAGATTAAACTGAAATAAGATCTTTGCTGCTGGGGTTATTCCTGTGTCGCTGCCGCAGTTGAAATCTGTGCTTGTCCTTCCTCCTTAAGGGTGTAGGGGACCCCTCAGTGTTACCGGTCACGGTGTGCTCTGCACAGACTTCAGGCTGCTGCACCTGAACCATGCACATCCTCAGTAACCATTACTCCATTGCTTTAAGCAGTGATGCAGTTGGGTGACGTGAGGGTGAAGGGCTTTGCCCCCCAATCCATGGCTGCGTTCTGTGGCATTGCTTCCGCAGGGATCGCCGTCTGCAACATCCCATCGGCGGCGGTGGAGGAGACGGCCGACTCCACCATCTGCCACGTCCTCAACCTGTACCGCCGCAACACGTGGCTCTACCAGGCGCTGCGGGAAGGCACGAGGGTGCAGAGCGTGGAGCAGATCCGGGAGGTGGCCTCCGGAGCCGCCCGCATCCGGGGGGAGACGCTCGGCCTCATCGGCTTCGGTACGTTGGCACAGGGATGCACGTGGTGCAGTGCTGGCACAGGGCTCAGCCGCTGAGGAGTCCTCAGCACCAATTGACTGCCCTTTGAAGGACCCAAAATGAGCATTTCCCAAACCAGAACTATTGATGTGACGTAAAGAGAACATCTTACACTGGACGGGGGGGAGGAAGGCGATGCATTGTGTGAGCCTTCACTGGGCCCAAGAAGGACCGCACCTGGTAATGCTGCCATCCTCTCCCACAAAACCCATTCCTGAGTCACAGCACCCCCAGCCCAGCTCCTCCTGAGCCATCCTGGAGTAAAGCAATGTCTTCAGTTCACCTATAGCTGTAGAGAGTTTCAGCATGAGAGGTAGCAGCACCTCTGCTGACAGCCCTCCTGGGTATCCCTATTGGTAGCCAAGCCCAACCATCACAGGATGGGTCAGGAGGTGCATTGAGGGAGCAGCAGCTCATCCAGCACTTGGTGGCCTCTCACATGCAAAACAGAGCAGAGATTTGGTGAGGCTGGAGCAGGAGACTGGGGTCAGTTTGTCAGGGTCAGGGTGAGGATGGCAGCACGTGCCCAGCTGTGCGCTCACATCTGGCTGCCCACACAGGCACCCTCCTGATGTCTCCTTGTCAACCGCGCAGCTCTGGGGCACAGACACAGCATTAAGAGTGTGTGTGCATGGGGGGACATCGCTGTGCACCCAAACCAGGCACGTGCCGGGCCCCTGCACTGCTCCCAGCTGGAACAACCGACATCCAAACCATTGAGGCTTGGCACGCAGGGCACACCCAGCCTGCCCAGCCTGTGGGTCCAGTGATGCTGCAGCCCTCCCCCAGCACAGCATCCACACAGCCCTTTGCTTCCAAGCCACGACAGTTGTCTCTGTCATGCCCAATTAACCAGCCAGAGGCTGGAAACCTCCCATCCCAAAGAAGCTGTCTGAAAGAGAAGGTGGAGCTTTCTGCCTTCCCTTTCCATCACTCCTTGCTAGACACAGCACCCCAGAGGATGGTTCCTCCGAGGAGCCCAGGGCCATGCTGGGGTGTCAGGAGCTCAATGGGCAGGTGGGAATGGGTTAAATGAGCCCCCCTTTTTGCTCCCTTTGCACACAGGTCGCACTGCGCAGGCGGTCGCGGTCCGAGCCAAGGCGTTTGGCTTCAACGTGATCTTTTACGACCCGTACCTGCAGGATGGGATCGAGAGGTCCCTGGGGGTCCAGCGGGTCTACACGCTGCAGGACCTGCTCTACCAGAGCGACTGTGTCTCATTGCACTGTAACCTTAATGAACACAACCACCACCTTATCAACGACTTCACGATCAAGCAGGTAACTCACCCTGTGTGCATAGGGTCATAGGATCGTGGAATGGTTTGTGTTGGAAGGGACCTTAAAGCTCATCCAGTCCCAACCCCCTGCCACAAGCAGGGACACCTTCCACTAGAGCAGCTTGCTCATGATCAAGATGTTCTGCTCTTCAGCGGGGTTCCCTCTGGTGATGGCCGCTGCCTTGGTGCCTGTGGGTTACCTCCACATTAGCTGCTTGCACCCAGTAGCCCATTTATCTCCCCACTGTGTTTACTGGGATGTAGCGTGCTGCCAGGTAAGTGAGCCCTGTGCCCATGGTGTAGTGGCAATGGCAGGAGCAGGCTTTGTTTGCCAATGCCACCCAGAGCTGGATTTCTGTAGAAACCCAGAGGAGGCCACGAGGATGATCAGGGGACTGGAGCACCTCCTGTATGGAGACAGGCTGAGAAAGTTGGGGCTGTTCAGCCTGGAGAAGAGAAGGCTGCGTGGAGACCTCAGAGCAGCCTTCCAGTATCTGAAGGGGGGCTATAGGGATGCTGGGGAGGGACTCTTCATTAGGGACTGTAGTGATAGGACAAGGGGTAATGGGTTAAAACTGAAACAGGGGAAGTTTAGATTGGATATAAGAAGCTCTTCCCTGTGAGGGTGCTGAGGCGCTGGCACAGGGTGCCCAGAGAAGCTGTGGCTGCCCCATCCCTGGCAGTGCTCAAGGCCAGGTTGGACACAGGGGCTTGGAGCAAGCTGCTCCAGTGGAAGGGGTCCCTGCCCGTGGCAGGGGTTGGAGCTGGATGAGCTTTAAGGTCCATTCCAACCCAAACCAGGCTGGGGTTCTATCAAACCACATACACTGGGATGGGGATTGCTTGGGGCTGGAGCGCAGCAGCACAGCATGGGAAATGAGGTACAGTCCTGGATGGAGGCACCCCGGGTCCCCACTGCTGCATCGGGATGGGGTAGGAGCAGGTCCCTGCATGAGGCTGACTCTCCTCTCTCCGGCAGATGAGGCAGGGAGCGTTCCTGGTGAACACAGCACGCGGGGGGCTGGTGGACGAGAAGGCCTTAACACAAGCCCTGAAGGAGGGACGGATACGAGGGGCTGCGCTCGACGTGCACGAGTCTGAACCGTTCAGGTACCGCTGCTGCTGCGGCTGCTCCTTGGGGTACCATCAACACACAGCACCCTGAGGCTGTTCCTTGGGGTACCACCAGCACACAGCACCCTGAGGCTGTTCCTTGGGGTACCATCAACACACAGCACCCTGAGGCTGTTCCTTGGGGTACCACCAACACACAGCACCCTGAGGATGTTCCTTGGGGTACCATCAACACACAGCACCCTGAGGATGTTCCTTGGGGTACCTCCAACACACAGCACCCTGAGGCTGTTCCTTGGGGTACCACCAGCACACAGCACCCTGAGGATGCTCCTTGGGGTACCATCAACACACAGCACCCTGAGGATGTTTCTTGGGGTACCACCAACACACAGCACCCTGAGTACACACACCCACCCACCACAACACACACACCCAACTTGGGGTACCACCAACACACAGCACCCTGAGATGTTCCTTGGGGTACCACCAACACACAGCACCCTGAGGCTGTTCCTTGGGGTACCACCAACACACAGCACCCTGAGGATGCTCCTTGGGGTACCATCAACACACAGCACCCTGAGGCTGTTCCTTGGGGTACCATCAACACACAGCACCCTGAGGATGCTCCTTGGGGTACCATCAACACACAGCACCCTGAGACTGTTCCTTGGGGTACCATCAACACACAGCACCCTGCGGCTGTTCCTTGGGGTACCACCAACACACAGCACCCTGAGGCTGTTCCTTGGGGTATCATCAACACACAGCACCCTGAGGATGCTCCTTGGGGTACCATCAACACACAGCACCCTGAGGCTGTTCCTTGGGGTACCACCAACACACAGCACCCTACCACACAACACACACACCCACCTTGGGGTACCACCAACACACAGCACCCTGAGGCTGTTCCTTGGGGTACCATCAACACACAGCACCCTGAGGCTGTTCCTTGGGGTACCATCAACACACAGCACCCTGAGGCTGTTCCTTGGGGTACCATCAACACACAGCACCCTGAGGATGTTCCTTGGGGTACCACCAACACACAGCACCCTGAGGCTGTTCCTTGGGGTACCACCAACACACAGCACCCTGAGGGTGGTCACGCCATGGGGCAATCCCACGGGGCTGGGAAAACCAACACGCTGTAACACCGGTGTGCTCGGGTGGCATGAGGGTTACAGATGCAGGGACACCCCAAGCAGTGATTCCCATGGGAGCACTAAGCCCTACCCGCAGCAGGTTGGGTTTCAGCCCTATTGGCTCTTGCTTGATGTATTTTCATATTGGAAGCTGCTCCCTTTCCTTCTGTGGTTATTTGGGATTGGCAGGACCCCGCCAGGCTGCCCCCAGCCCAGGAGCCACGGGTGAGGGGCTGGGGAAGGAGGCTTGCATACACATAGGGCAGGCCATTTGCTGATGCTGACATCCTTTACTCTCTCTTTAAACACGGGTTAATGTCTTTTTCTTCCCTCCCTGCTCCCAGCTTTGCTCAAGGCCCATTGAAAGATGCTCCTAACTTAATCTGTACCCCTCACACTGCCTGGTACAGCGAGCAGGCGTCCCTGGAGATGAGAGAAGCTGCTGCTACTGAAATCCGGCGTGCCATCACAGGTACCCAGCCCGTGTGGGTGCTGGAACGGGAGCAGGAGGGGCAGGGATGGGGCTGCACCATGGCCGTGTCCCTGCAGGACACTGGGAAAACGGGTTGGATCCCATTGTCCTCCCAGTACAAGAGTTGAGAAACCAAGCTTTACCTTTGTGTCCTTCGGGTGTGCTGGTGGTTGGTGAGGGGGTTTTGTGGGGTTTGGGTTTGGTTCTTTACATCAGTGGGGCGGTTGTGCAGTGTGGCAAAGACTGATGGCTGTGACTGGGAATGACTGCAATAATTGCTGCCCTTTGAACGGTGCTAACCCAAAAGATGCTGCAGAGCATCACAGACAGCATGCCAAACCCAGCCTCAAAGGAGGCAAGGTCCCTGTGTCCAAGTGCAGTAACTGAGCATGCCCCAGGGTGGGGGTCAGGGTATTACAGCAAATAAGTGGTTGTCTGGTCCTAAAACTGCCTTACTTGTTCACATGGAAGGCTTCATGTTAACGTGGAAGGCACAGCTTCATGTTGGGGCAGCCCCTGCTTTGAAAGCAGTGGGTCACGGGAGCAATGTTTCCTAAAGCAGAGTTGGGATGGGGTCTCCAACCCTGCACCTCAGGATGGCCAAAATCTCTTCATGAAACAAGGGATATGGGATTTTTATCGCTATCCTTTACAGTAACTATATATACTATATATGATTATATATATATATGTACATATTGATTGATTGAGGGGAGCTGGAGAACCTTCTATATGAGGAGAGGCTGAGAAAGTTGGGGCTGTTCAGCCTGGAGAAGAGAAGGCTGCGTGGAGACCTCAGAGCAGCCTTCCAGTATCTGAAGGGGGCCTATAGGGATGCTGGGGAGGGACTCTTCATTAGGGACTGTAGTGATAGGACAAGGGGTAATGGGTTAAAACTGAAACAGGGGAAGTTTAGATTGGATATAAGGAGGAAATTCTTTCCTGTGAGGGTGGTGAGGCACTGGAATGGGTGCCCAGGGAGGTTGTGAATGCTCCATCCCTGACAGTGTTCAAGGCCAGGTTGGACAGAGCCTTGGGTGCCATGGTTTAGTGTGAGGTGTCCCTGCCCATGGCAGGGGGTTGGAACCAGATGGTCTTAAGGTCCTTTCCAACCCTAACTGTTCTATGGTTTTATATATATATATATATATATACACACACATATATATACATACACACAAACTATATATATACACACACATATATATACACACTAATAGTGTAACATATATATAGTGTATGTAGAATATCTACAATAACAATATATATTACAAATAACTATACATATACACATAGTTATATATCTGTATAGTTAGTGTGTGTGTGTGTATATGTGAGGGTGCTGAAGCTGGGACCCTCCTGACACACACTTAACTTCCCTTTCTTGCCAACTCCAGGGCGCATCCCAGAAAGCCTAAGGAACTGCGTCAATAAGGAATTCTTTGTCACGACGGCTCCGTGGTCAGTAATAGATCAGCAGGCGATCCATCCGGAGCTCAATGGTGCCACGTACAGGTAAAGCGGGGAACAGGAGCCCTGCAGCTCCCCTGCCTGCGCAGGGGATGGATTTGGGGTTCCGGCTATAAAGTGAGCCTTAAAGCCCTGTAACAAAGACCCTCTGTGCTGGCTGAGCTGGTGGCCGGGATCCCCCTCCCTGGGGACCACAGTCACAGCGCTGGGGTTACAAGAGATGCTTGGTGTAACCACGGGGTTAGGAAGCCTCTTGCTCATAAAGCCTCTATTCTGCTGGGCCAGCAGCCACTTGTACAGCACCACTGTTAGTGCTGGGACCCCCCCAGCAGGGCCATGAGCAGGCAGATGGAACTTCTAAACAGAATTCACCAGGCAATGAGGTAGGGGGGAAACTCCACCCATAAGCCCATAGTCAGGTAGGCTCATTCCCATCTAAATCCCAGGAATTAGGGTTACTTACTGCTCCCCTTTGGAGAGCTCAAAGGATGCTGATAGGAGATATGAGGTATGAGGACTTAGCTGGAGCACAGGCACCCTTCAGCAGATCACCATTGCCAAAAGTACTCGATACCAAAACACCCCTGCAATTCACTGGAGCAAAAATGCTCACTTTGACCAGCAGAATGTGTAGACCTGGTGAAAGCATCCCCATGGTCCTGCTCCGTAACACAAGGGTGATGATGCCCTTATCCCTTACGGCCTTAATCTCTGCCTCTGCCAGGTGCTTCATCCAGGCTCAAGCTCCTCCAGAGCCATGGGCCTGGAATCCCTATAAGCTGGTACCTGGGATCAGCTCACCCCACCCATGGGCAGGTCGAGCCTCCCTTTCCCTCCACTCTTCCCTAAGGAGATGGTGGCTGGAGGGAGCTGCTTGTGGCTGGGGCCCTCAGAGAGTTTTGGCCTCCTTGCCCCCTGTCTCATCTTCCCTGCATACAGGTGGAGAGATTCTCCTTTAGTGTCATGGTTTGGACCACTCACCCTGCTCTTAGGAAGGGAGATGGGCTAGATCCAACCCTGCTTTTCAGCTGTGCTCTCTGGTTACATGAGGAAGATGCAGCTCACTTTCCATAGAGGGATAACTTACAGCCAGGTGTACATGTTCAAAGGTACTCACAGGGATGAGTAAGAGCATGCTAGCGTGTGGTGCTTCAGAGAGCGTGCAGGGTCATCCCTTACCCAGTTTTACAACACAGAGGTTTCTTTATGGTTCAAGAGCCTGTTAGGAGGTGGAGAACAAGGTGCAGTCCTGGTGTCAGAGTGGAGGACACTCACATGGAACACAGTGGAACTGGTTTAACACTGAGCTGCCTCTTGTAATTGATAAGGAAACCAGCAATGGGATCTCTGCCTGTCTCCTCTGTAGTCTCTGGGATGCCCAACCTGCCTCTCTGTGTCCCCTCTCCCAGGTATCCACCTGGGATGGTCAGTGTGGCACCGGGAGGAATACCGGCAGCTATGGAGGGCATCATTCCCGGCGGCATCCCTGTCACTCACAACCTCCCCACAGTGGCACATCCTTCCCAAGCGCCATCTCCAAACCAGCCCACAAAACACGGGGACAACAGGGAACATCCCAACGAGCAATAGCAGCTAATTTAAAAAGCACTCCATAAACTTAGGACCAAGAGACATTGGAAAAGAAGTTATCCACGGACTAAAGGAAGCATTTGATACGACATTTGTAACGTTCCTTTTGGACAGACGCATCATTGATGTTCCCCTGTTCCCCACAAAGCGACAGCGGGTCAATGGGGAGAAGGCCTGAAGAAGTCACCTCAACTGAAGCGCTGAAAACTCGGATGTGATCCATGAATGAGCAACTTCTGTTCTTGTGTGTTCAGTTTCCTTCATCTGTGCATCAATCACATGAATAAAGAGAGATTCTTTCCCCTCACCTTTAGTTCATTGGGAAGGGCAGAGCTTCTGCACCAGCGTTCAAACCGCTGCGCTCAGCCATCACTGCGGAGTTAACACGGATGCGGCTTCAGCCCTTTCCTTACTCCTGGATCTGGTCACCTCTTCCAACAGGAAGCGTTAGGCCTGGCTTAGAGGAAAAACATCCTAATAATCATAGGGCCAGTAATGGAAGTTCTCCTGCCAGGCTTAAGCTGGGATCCATGGGATGAGGAGGGCAGAAAGGGAATGGCCACTGCCCTGCTAAAAGCTAAAGGAAGAACCCAACAACTGCCCCATACACTGAATAAAGTAGCTGTGCATCCACCTCTGCCCTGCAATGATGCAAGACAAAAAAAAAGTAAAAAAAAGGAAAAAAAAAAAAAGAGAGAAGTATTAAGTTTCACACTATTTGTACTCAAATATATTTTCTCAGTTTTAAATCTGCAGCTATTTTATCAAGTGGAAAGAAAAAAAAAAAAGAAGTCTTGAGCTGGAAAAGGGCTCAAGAATAATGTTGCATTTCCTTATGTCTCAGGAAACACTTTTTATGGTAACTTGTCAGACTGTCTCTGAACAAACCCCCCCTTTTTTAGACATGGGTAAAAAAAAAAAGTCTTCTTTTCTTCACGTGCTATTTTATACAAGAACATTTGGACCACGTGCTATTAGATGTGACTGATTTTAACAAATCCTCTTAGATTTGTATCAACTTAGTTACATGTTATACTCATAGTCTTTTGTGAAGCATCGCCTTTTTGTTTTTAAGAGATGGCCGATGTTGAGCCTTTGTATGGGTACACTCCTGTTTCCGTGACATAACAGAATACCTGAAGCTGTCCCAAGCAACCAGAAAAGAAACCACACAACCCGATGGCTATCAGCAGTACGTTTTGTTTTAGTGTGTTACCGGTCCTGTATTTGTTTCTTGTAAAGGTGGACATTTAGCGGTCAGTGCAGTTTTCAATAAAAAAAAGTGATAAAATTCCTATCATTTCCGCGAGGTCGGAGCTCTGGTTGTGCTGTACCCTCCTCTGGAGACACACAGACAGTAGGTAAGTCCTCCTTAAGTAACTTCAGCGCTCACAAGCATGGGCAACAGAAGGTGATGATGGTCCGTGGCTTCCAGAAGTGCCACGGGGACTTGGGTCAAGCTTGTGGGTACGGGTTGGTTGTAAAACTGCTACTGAGGGACTTCAGTTTCTTATCTTGACATTCAGGTGGTGCTATTTATAAACTGAAAAGCTCTAACCTGTGAATACTTGATATTAATCACACACAGCCTCGGTGGAAAACAGCTCAGATGGTTCCTGTTAAGGTACAAAAGCAGCTATGCCCCAGAGTTTCATGCATGTACTCAAGAAATGAAACATTAAGAAAGCACACAGGAACCAAGCTGAAATCATGGCCAAGAGGGGCCGAGGCTTTGAGCCTTGCTACAGGAATACCTGCTCTTTTGATTCCACATTGCATCCGTGCCAGCACACATGGAGCTAGAGACTGAAACAATACTGAAACCAAGGAGTGTCCAGGGTACAAAACTGTGTATTCTGTTTGCTTTAAATTAAACTGAAAACTAAATACCAGCTTCACACATGAAAAATGAGGTCACCTTCTACAGATGAGTGACCACTTTGTGTCAGTGAGGAACAGCACATCAGTGATGATCCATGAACACTATGAGCCATCCTGAGGACACAAGAGATTAGTCACAGAGAAGGGGGTTGGGAAATGCTGAAATGATGGTGCAAACCAAGAGGACAAAGCTTTAGTGTTGTTTTAAACCAGCTCTGGTACTTTGATTTAGGTTTAACCTGAAAGGGCAGACTAAGCTGAGCTCTTAGGCAGAAGCTCTTCCCTGTGAGGGTGCTGAGGCGCTGGCACAGGGTGCCCAGAGGAGCTGTGGCTGCCCCATCCCTGGCAGTGCTTAAGGCCAGGTTGGACACAGGGGCTTGGAGCAAGCTGCTCTAGTGGAAGGGGTCCCTGCCTGTGGCAGGGGCTGGAACTGGATGAGCTTTAAGGTCCCTTCCAACCCAAACCTGGCTGGGGTTCTGTGGAAAGTGGAAAAAAGGGAAAGCAGCACTTAATAAGGGTCTCCACATGCACACAAACCCATTTTGTTAATGGAGTAAAGACGATCTAGTAACATTTGCCATAAGCCATGCAGCAGCACTGTGGAAGAATCAGAATTACTAAATTTTAATAGATTAAAACCAAAAGAAATACAGGGATTTCCACTGAGGAATTTGTAAATAAAATAAGGGAAAAAAAAAATTCAACCAGCTGTAAAGGAGGTAGCAATGAAAAGCCAAGTTCTGTGCTAGGAAAGCATCTGCAATAGTTATGAGGAAAGTTAACACTGAGGAACCCAATTTGATGTGCACCTACTTGGCCAAGAGAGCAGAACTTGCCAGCAAGCTGCAAGGTAGCATCTGCAAATTAGTCTTGGGATCTATTACCCCTCAAGTCTGTAATCCAAGGAGAGAAGTTAATTAATGTACACATTAATGTACACTGACGACCGTGCTAGCACAAAGCAGGGGTTTGCATCTCTTTAATCTACAGGTACATGAGGTTTGGATTACTTTGATTCTGTAAAAGACACTTCACCAGTTCCGAAATGGCCCGTGAAGCGTGTTAAACCTGAACAGACCATTTTACAGCACATCAGAACAAAACAATAATGATCAAGGAAGCCAAGAGCTCTGAAGTACCAGGACTTGTCCTCTCAGACCAGAACTAGGCGAGCGTGGTGCATGCTTTCAGATAGAGCTGGACTGGCTGCACGGTGAACTTCTGCTTGGTGCGGTGCTGGATGGGGACGGGGATGGTTGGGCCACAACACAGGTGCCCACACACAGCAACAGGAGGTAACGAGAGGTGTTGCTCATCAAATTGGCTCAAGGTAGGCTTTCACATTGGTTGTTCTCCCTGTGTTACAAGGAAGCTTCACTTCCTTCAACAGAACAGTACTACAGAAAGCAAAGGGTGGGTGGGATGTTAACACTGCACAGTGTTTTGCACACCCCTCGAAGGAGCCTACTGAAGGCAGGAGCTGCTCCTGTCCATTCAAATGGTCTGCCCAGGGAAGCCGCTCCTGGTAAGCTCAGATCTGAATTCACAGTGATCTGGTTGCTGAGTAAGAACTAAACCTGATGTGCTTAAGTCCTGACCTAGAAGGACCTCCACAGCCTCGCACTGGGTTGTGCCACAACACCATCAGCTCAGATCACAGGAATTCTCATCCCAGCTTACTCCATGTTCAGCTCCCCTGACAGAAACTCTGCATCCTCAGCTAGACAAGGTGTCAAGGGATTTCAGTGCAAGGGAAGAAAAGGGATGAAATAAAAATATACCAATTTAGAAACCAAACTTCAAACAGGACCATAAGCTGGTGAGGAACCTCTTTAGTATCTGCGGTTCTGTTCAGCTCGGGTAGATCACACGTACATCGCAGATAAGCATGCATTCTTCAACCTGAAAACTTGTGCATGCACCCATCAGAGGAGATCTAATGGCCAAAACTAAAAGAGGTGAAGACATTTCGTCATAAACCAAAAGGGAATCTGTGATGGGACAATTGCTAAGTTAATACAGTACTCTGTTATCTCTATACTTTTGGTGTCGTCACCAAGTTTCTGTCAGAGTTGTGCACATTTCAACACCATCTAAGCAGCATTTGGAAGAAAAAGCAGCAAGTTCCTCAGGGTTTCCATAGCTCTGAACTACATAAAAATAGGTGCTATGGGGCTTCTTTCCAAATTCTAAATGAAAACAAATCTCAGCTACGGCAAAATTCCTTAGTCAACCACCACACCATCCAAAGTGCTTTTCAAGCCAACCTGAATTGCACTATGTAAAAACTGGCATTAACCTTTAGTGTTGGAAGTGAGATTTTTAGATCAACTTTATCCATTACAGGTTACATGGCTAAAGTTATCAAATATAATAAAATATCTACTTGGAGAATATACTCTGAACTTACAGTCTTAGGAACTTACAGAAGTTTAAGTATGGCCACATCAATCAACATGCAAGAAATTCCCAGGTTTACAGGCTGAGAAATATATAACACAGTGCTTTAAAAAACAACTTTTTTAGCATAGATTCGTCTTTTTAATCAGAACTGCCAAGTGTGTTCTCATCACTACATTTCCTGACCAAGGAGTAACCCTTTAGGAAGGTGTTCGTTCATTTGCAGCAATGTCTATGTTGGTGAATGAAGAAATGATTATATGAGAAAGAGTTTGTATCACAGCAAGATGGAGTTCTGGCAACATGAACCTCAAATCGTGTCCAAGTTCTCCAATTTCACATATTTATGTTTAGTGTATGCTCACTGGAATCAAATCCCCATATTTTAGGTCACTTCTCTGAATAAATATTCTTATGTATACGGAAAGGAACCTACTCACTATTAGAAGTTAAAATTAAAAGCAAAGAAAAGAGAAACCCAAAACAAAACCTTTTTCAGGAGACAAATCATTTCACTCAAGGAAAAATTTAGCTTCTCTTCCAGTTTGTTCTGTAGAGTTTTATTATATGGGCACAGCAGTAACTAAGGGATTAGTAAAGTAATGAATGGATTTTTGCTCATGTCTTGCTGTGGAGATTTTGTGCAAACCAAAAAGAGAAAACCTCACCGTCTGACCTGGGCACGAGTGAGATTTCACATCAAAGGGCCTGGCAAAAGAAATGGGTCAGAGTAGCTAAAAGGTGATGCAGAATACCAAGTTCTACTGCAAAAGAACCTCGGAAGGAAGAGATCCATCTATATACCATGTGCTTTCCTAAGTGCCCTTCTTTGTAATATCTCGTCGCAATAATTAGGATGCTGGTATACTCTTCCTATTACACAACCTCTTACACAACCACATGCGGGACATTTATAGACAGATTTACAATCAGAAAGAAAAAGGTTTCTTTCTTTTCCATCTTGATAATAAAATTAGGTGGGTTTTGTTTCATTCTGTCTCTATACAAACTGTAGTCCAGCCCATTTTGCTCTCTTCACGCAGCAGATGAGCTTTAGACTCTCTCCATGCTGGTTAGAAAAATCCTTTCCAGCACTTTTCCCCTAGAATGGGGTCATTCCACAATGAACTGCTAGAGCACAATGCTAACTCCGGCTCAGACACCCTGTGCTGGTCGTTTTCTGTTCCATTTTTTCATTCATCATCATCATCCTCATCTTCCTCACCATCGGAAAGGGATGTACACGGGCGGATCTGTCGGTAGCGATCGAGCCACTTCTCTACCATCTGGGTGACCAGCGGATGATTGCGCCTGCGAGAGCTTTTCTGCATTGCCACGAGGACCCCTCCTTCTGTCACACAGCAGTCCAGCCACTCCCGAAGCAGCTTTTCCTGCTGCTCCTCATTCCCTA